TGATAAAGTGGAACGCCTGAAGCCCTCGTTGGACTTCTGCTCTCGTGTATCCCCTACGGAGCAGTTCGGCAGTCCGGCAAGTTTGGGTCGCCCACGGGGATACTGCTCTCTGCATCTCCTATAAACAGCCCGTCCAAGTCGATGGTCTTCGCAGCTTGGATGAATGATTTGCGCCACGAGTCAAATCCGTGGCTACGGCTTTTTCCGTCTAGGAGCGGAGCATTGACCGTAACTCTTTTCTGGTGGCTACTGCTGTAGCCGTCGAGGTATTCTCCATTTCCTCGAATCACGGGCATCTCCCCCTCGCTTCCCCGTAGTCCGGTTNCCACGACACTGCCAGGCTCCTTCTTCTTCACCGACTCCTCCACCAGGGCCGCCAATTGCGAAATCTGCCGTTGCAAACTTGCAAGCTCCGCGTCGCGGCCCTCCTGCACCGGCGGGCGGATCTGTTCTCTGCTCGCAGCAGCGCGCTCTTAGTCTCCAGCAGAGCTCATCCCGATGTGGCTTCCCTCGAGGGGCAAACTCTAGAGTGTTTGCGGCCTACGCCACTTATTTATCGGGTGAGACTGTTTTGGTGATGTATTAACTTCACGAGAGGTCGACGACCGTCCTTCACACGGACGAAAGAGGGAGTGCCCAAAGAGCGGCTCCCACAGCAAGGGGGGGACCCGTGAATCATAGTGGTGCCCCCTATCAAACGGTTATCTTACCAGTCTGAGTGACACAAAATCATCCAGCACATGTATCCAACAACAATGTTCGCAGACCCACGAACAAAACATTTGCAGTCAATATTATTTATTTATTTTTGCCTTCCGACAATTGCAGATGTACCTCAGAAAACTTTCACTTAATGTCTCATACTCTACATGAATATTAAACCAATACGAAGTACAACAACATATGTAGGACTTATTTCTACTGTCATTTTGTCATTTACATCGTAAAAATATCTCCTCTTCAACTTGAAATAAAACCATGTCAATATCCTGCGCGACAAGCAACGGGGGTGGACGGGGGGGGGACACACGCGGTGGCTCTTTTTCGTGCGGCAAAGGCTTTCAACCTACTACGAAGTCTACCGTCATTTTGGCGGTAGCTGGACGAGGCAATCGCGGGGGCATAAGCAGGATGCTGTGTGCTTAGTCTAGATTCTACTGCTGTTGACTAATTAGTCTTGTCTATTTTTTTCATGTGTTGGCACATGCATCTAGACTACTCAACATCGCCCCCCTAGACTTAGTTACACGTTCGTCGCCGCAGGTTCCCTCGAACTACCAGCTGAAGACGATGCGATGCAGCTATGAACATATTGAATTCTAGACTACCATAGTCTACAGCAGTATATTGTCTGAAACCAGTGCTGTAATCTACTTTTGTGTCTACTGCTGTAGCCTACTTTATACCAGAGCCAGCGGCAATTTCGGCTTTTTTGAGCAGGAATGCGGGAGCACGGCTTCTGTAGTCTAGACTACACTACAGCAATACAAGAGGAGGCCAAAATTACGCCGCAAGGGGGCAGAACTCTGCCTGGTATTTTTCGTGTGATATGTTTCGTGGTCTTTGCACAGCAGTCACCCGCACAGTTTCTACTGCTGCCACACGTCTACTACTGCTGTAGTAGGGGTGTTCGGCGGTAAAGACGAATAGTTTCCACGAGTTTTTCAATGAGCAGCAAGAAATGGTTCCCAACCTCTGAAAAATTGTAGATACCAACATCCGTTAGGTCACGAGGATCACGAAAATATACTTTTTTTCCCATTTGGATGTCGTGGTGATGACTTGTTGATGAATTAGTGGCCAAAATTGGATGAAAATCGCGTCTGCGGGGCCCCCGAGCAAGTTGCAAACGCCTCCGAATCGTATAAATTTTTCAGGTTAGGGTAATGTTGTGTTGTACATCAAGAATCCGTCGTCAGAATTTCGATCAGGATCGATGAGGCCGTGATACAGCTACGCACTGATATATATGCCCGAAAGCAGGGATAACCTGGAATTACTAGGAATTACACTGAAATATCCCCCCTCCCGCAACACTTTCTACATGTTGATTCAATCTCTCCTGACTTCGAACTAGGGTAATTTTGGGGTGGGGATCACAAATATATTGTTGGAGTGTCCCAGTTTTGATTTGCAATGGACTTTCAGCTGCTCAAAAGCTGTCAGTAGCTGAGCAATTTCAAAATTCCTGGGATTTTGGATTCTAGGTTGCCACGTCGAGTTTTTGTCTGATCAACTTTCTGAGTGGCTCTACCCCCTCTAAATCGGCCAAGCGGAATCGATTGCCGAGGAGAAATGGAGGCGCCGAAATCAGCAACGCGGTGAAAAAAAACAATCAAGGCGATCCGATCACATTGTTTTTTGATACTCTTTTTTTTATGCTATTTTTAAACGTCGATTTAGTCTAGACATGTATCCAAAAACGGTTATTTATTCATTCGAGTTTTTCCTCGCCGCGGGAGAGACAATTCGTCGTTACCGCGGAACACCCCTGTAGTCTACACTAGTCTCGCCTACGAGCGAATCTTCACCTGTCTCGTCCGTGTTGTGCACGTGGTTGGCCTCCGGTTTGACCTCGTCGAGGAGGGCTGCCCATCTCTCGTTGAACTGCACCATGCGAGGCTCCTCATCTTCGGTCCTGTTTGCCTCGTAGATGCGGGTCGAGCGCTCCACCACCCGTGGGTGCCTACGAAGGAAGCCCGCAAGCCAATCTTTCCCCGGACCCTTCTCTGGATCCCAAGGAATCCGCCGACCGACCGTCGTTGCACAGTCGTCGCACCGCATCTCTTGTTGTTGTTGTTGCTGTTTTCCTTCACATTAAACTCGTTTCAGTTGCTAATTCCAAAAGCTAGCAAAGACAGACTCGGTCCGTGGTCACAAAAATGCTAGAGCCATCAGAAGATCTAAAGGACACACACACTATTATTAGCAAGGAAAGGGTACGCAAGCCCGAGGAGGTACACCTACAATCCCTGCAGCACGTTTGCGTGCTCACAACTGAACTACACGCCCACACACTACAATTCGACTACAGCAGCAGCATCAACCCCCTTGTCCCGCATTTAACCAAAATGGATGTTTGTCGACTACAGCGTACTGCTGTCAAAAGTGCTGTCGGTACAAAAATAACACCATGGTACATGGTACACAAGCTCGGGGCATGCAGCTGCTGTCTGAAGTGCTGTCAGAATGAGTCCGTGGACATACAATGAAGAAGAACGCCCAACCAAAGCCATCATTGCAATTAAAAATCACCCGAATCTATCCACTTACTTTCACCTTTTAGGGTCGACCTAAGGGTCGACCTAAACAGGCCAAAAAAAAACTACGAAACCTGCGATCAGAGGTTTTACCTGCGAATATGGAGGCTTTTTACCTGCGATCGCAGGGCGGGAGCAGGGCCGAAAAAATCACCTCTGCTCCTTTTTTGCGATCGCAGGTAGGTACAAACCTGCGATTTCTGCGATTCTCTTGAGAGCATCACGTTGGATCGGGCACAGCACACCAAGCCACCTGTATCACCCCCGTAGCTGCACTATAACCCCCAGAACTGATCGCCAGGCTACCCCAACGCCATACAACTTCCTATGTAAAACAAGTCGATACCATATCCTACTCCGGAGTATATCAAAATCGGGCACCTTTCATGCACGCGGGTAATACGATCCACGTAATAGTAGCCTCTGGGCGAGCTTGCGTGTACAGGAGAAGCAGCTAACCGAGGAGGGAGTGGGGGGGAGGGGGGAGGAGGAGGGAATGCGAAGGCGCTCGACGCGAAAGCGCTAGACGAAGCGACTGTTTGGTCTTGTTGAGGGCGGTGGAGGGGCTTGGTCAAGTGAGTAAGTACAACGCACGGCGAATTGCAATTGTGTACGGACGGGTGTTTTGTTGCACGCGGCGAAGGTGATGCCACCACCGTACGCTCATCGCGAGCCCCTCTCCGGTATATTGCCGGCTTGAGTGAGCTGGATTGATGTGTCCTTTGGTTCTGGGGTGTCGTTTGTTCGTGTTATTTCGTCTTGTTATTCGCCTAGTGTCAAGTATCGTGGGCTTGTCGCAGAAGAATTGCGAAGTTCGTAGTTTTTATTTGTAGCCTATGAAGTTTTATCCCCAAGCACGACGTATCATACTCCTTGACTTGAAAGCCAACTAGAAGTGTCCCCAGCCAATAACAGGTACTATTCGAAGTAGCAGTCTTCCTTCTTCCGGCGCCGGATGTACCCAGCTTGGATGTACATACCATTATCTCAACCTTATCAAACTACTAACAAGGTCCTTTGTGCGCGTGCCGTAAACATCAGCACACGCAAGCACACCTACGCAATTGAGAGGGAGGAAGCCAAGAAGGCCTGTACAAAAGTGTACCACGAAAAACAATATTTTTCGCGGCCCTCCGGGGGGGGGGTGTTAGGTGTCAGGATTTGTTTTTTTTGCGCCCTTGCCGTACCTCCTTCTTTACCCTAGGACCCAGCAGCTTCCAACAGCTGGGGCTCCTTCATGCGTTTCACCATTATTATAGTACCGGTCGAATAGTGCTGGGTATGGTGCTAGTGACTTCGGCTCGCACACACTGAGACACCAAGTTGTTCTGTGCTTTGAATACTGCCTGTGTCCGGTTGTTGTCTTCACATTGACAAGCGTTCCGTTCTCTCTACCCAGTACCTTCTTCTGCCCGTGCTAGTCTAACACAGACGCGGTAAATTTCCGTGGTCACTGGCTAACTCACCCCAAAAAGGTAGAACACGAAAATTAATAAGATCCGAGGTCCGCAAGTCAATAAAAATCAACGACAGATACTCTAGGACACTCCGCTCGCCCCTACAATACACACGCTATGTGAGGTAACCATAGACTGGAAAAAAAACAAAAACAATAAGAGAGCAGAGGGAGAAATGGGAAAGAGAAGGACAATAGAAAGACACACGCCAGAGCCACTACCGTAGCGACAATCAAACAAGACAACACAAAACAACACATTACAAAGCAAAACAACACAAAACGGGCCACCCGAGACAGCAAAAAGGCACGCCATCGTACGTGGGATGTTGGTGCAATGGTGCAGTGACGGGTGGGGGGATTAGTCAATCAAGGGGTTCAATCCGCACAGCATTTCGCGCCGGTCGGTCCGCCTCTTCGCTTTTCCTGTCTTCCCTCGCCGTCTCGTTAGTTTCACCCCTCCCGCCCCAGTGGTTGTTGCGGTGTCCGTGCTGTTGCCGGGCTTGTTGTTTCGTGTAAGCGCTCGTTGTTGGCAAACCCCCTCATCATCCTTGTGCCAGGAGGTCATGAACCTGTTAGCTACCTGCAGTACCCCCGTACGCCGCGGTAACCCCCGCTCCATCTTTGCTGCTTCCATCCTAGTTGTTTGCGGGACTCCAAAACAACATGGCTCGGTGTCCGTAAATCCGTGCTCTGCCTCGAGCATCTTGAGGTCGTCCTTCAGGCACATCTACCAGTTCTGCTCCGGTTTCCCCCTGCCTGGGCCCTCCCCTCCCACCAGCTCGCCAAGCATTAACCGTTTCGGGAGTCGCTCGTGTGGCTGCCTTGCCAATGCTCCCGCGAACAGGAAGCGCCGTTGCCGAACAGTGGCTTCCGCGCTCTGACGCCCTACCCTCTTCAGGGTCTGGGCGTAGGAGAGGTGCCGGTAGGTGCCCTTCTTGCGTTGGTAACCGATAACTCGCAGGAGCAGCCGGTGATGTATCAACTGCAACAGCCGGAAATGTTCGCGACGTGGGGTCCATCTCATGCAGCCGTACAGCAATGCCTCCATCACCTCGGCCTGGAGCGGGCGAGTCTTGAGTCGGCATGGTGCTCTCGGCCTGACGAAGAGCCCCTGGCCTTATTTCCTGACGCAAGCCCCCGCTGTTCTGATCCGGTAGTTGATCCCCCGGGTGAGGTCACCATGTTTGTTGACGAGGCCACCTAGGTACCGGAATTCAGCCGTCTGGACGTACCTCTGCCCTGCTGCCTCGATGATCAGCGGTGACGGCGGGGGGAGCGGTGGTGTTGTCTGCCTGGAGGTGCATCCGGAGCGTCTCCGGCTTCTTCTCCGTTACCGTCAGCCCGAACGCCCCGAACACCTCCACGATGCGGCCATCATTCTCGCCAGTCCGTCGGCAGACCTCAATATAACGCCGGCGTCATCGGCATACAGCATCCCCAATACCGTTCCCCCCCGCACTTGGTCAAGTGGTGTCCCCGCCCTTGCTCCCGTCTCCTCCTCCAGGTACACCAGGTTCTGCGGAATAACATCATCCTCACTGAATCGAAATGACAACGAACTCGATGACCGCGACGAAGAAGATGTCGAACAGCAGTGGGGACAGCATGACACTCCTTGTCGTAGGCTTTGTGTCACCCAGAACCAGTCCGAAAACTCTCCTTCGTCCATTCGCACCTGGGCTCGCATTCCGTTGTGGAAATGGCGGATGACGGCGATCATCTCCTTGGAAATCCCGGCCCTGGCCAGTACCTTCCACACTAGCTCTTGGTCCACCGAATCATACGCCTTCTCGAGGTCGACGAAGCACATGTAGAGTGGTATTTTCTTCTCCGCCAGCTCCTGGAATCGGCGCACGACGAACAGCATGTCGATGGTAGATTGCCCAGGTCGGAACCCGCCCTGTTCCTCCGGGAGAATATTGTTGGTTCGCAGAAGGCGCGATTGGTAATGATCTTGACGGGGACCTTGCCTACGTGAGATAGCAACGAAATCCCCCTGAAATTGTTGCCGTTGGACCGGTCTTGTACTCACCTTGATGGTTGTGTCCTCTCACTCTTGGGGATCTCTCGTCCGTTCCACACCTCAACGAAGATGGAATGCAGGTGATCCAGGACGGTGTGTTCGTCGTCGCAGGCGATCTTGAACAACTCGGAAGGAGAGGAGTCACTTCTGTAGTCCTTTGGTTGCCCGTTCCACCTACTCGAGGTCTGGCACCGCTCCCAACCGTCGAGTGGCACATATCACCGGTCGATGCGTCACTTGTTCGATGATGTCGGAGTTCCGGGTGGGGGACTTGGTGTTGAGGAGGGTGCCGAAGAATCTCGTCCATCGCTGGAGGATGTTGTTCTTTCCCCGGAGCAGCACGCCGTTCTCGTCCGCAACGGGCTGCTGTCCTCCCGCTCGTCTCCCGCCGAGCCCCACTGATCTCTTGAGGTGTTGGGAGAGGCCTCTCATATCGAGTCCCCTTGAAGATCGCTTCGAGTTCCGTCACTTATCTCTCCAGGTGGGTATATATGTCTGTTTCGACTACTTCGGCCACTGTTTAGTGCCGGGATCTCCGGGCACATGTCGGTACTATATAGGGCCCACTACTGTATCGGGCCACCGACGGCTGTGACGCAAGAAAGAAACTCAAAGACCGATTGTACCCGGTGTCATCTCTCTTGCCTCTTGACCACCTCCTGCTCGTGAATTTGCGTGCGAGAATGTGCGGTGCCGTAAGTGGCTTTTGGTTCTGTTATGGCCTAATCTATGATAGCAATGGGACAAGTTGATGAAACGGGGGGACGAAAACACATTAAAAAAACGTTCACACACATGAACTTGCGCGATAGAGGGGGGGCGACGAGGAGCGGGGGCGAGAGAAACGACACCGGAGAGACAGGCGTAACTGCTACTGACCAAAAGGTTGGGACCGCCCTTACTGCTCTACGTGTTTCTCTCACCGCTGTCACGGCACGTGGAACCTCTGGAGGCACCACGCAACAACCTGGATCATCCCCTGGGGCACCGCCGCCGACGTCGCGTATGATGATTGGTAACCGAGCCTGCGGCATCTTCATCCAATCCTCAGCAATCGCGCTCAAAACGAGAACACGTCTACTGTAGATCGGAGCAGCTGCCTCGCTAGGCCTAAATCATGGGATTGTGGGAGATCGGTCACTCTCCTCGGCGCTTGTGAAGCAAGCCGTATCATGGAGTGTGGTACAGCAGTAGAGCAGTAGAGCGGCGAACCCTTCAGCATCATCACCGCCCACAAGCTGGTGCTGGTACCTTTCCAAGAAGATTCCTCGGGCTGAAAATGCGCCACAACGCAACGTACACACCGGGTACAACACGTTGGCGATCGGGGTATTTACAAGGTACAGACCGGTGTCTACGCATCTACAGCATCACGAGTAGTTGGGCCCAGGGTTCTAAACCGGGTCACCCACTTGCTCTACCGACTGCCGCAGGACTCTGGTTCCGAGCCTCACACCCATGCATGTCCAACTGCAGCACCATGCAGCAGAGCCGTCATCGCGCCCCGCCCGTACGCGCGAAAGACTGACTGCTGATACACGGCTTCGACACTTCTTGCTCAGAACGGAGGGCCCAGAACGGATGCCGCCGCGCGTCCCGCATTAGGTTGTGATTGTAGCTGTTTAAGTATTAGGAAACATAAAAACACAGAAAGACCACAAGACTACCCATTCGAGATAGGACCACAGTCGAACGGGATATCTTGATAAAGTCGTCACAGTGAATGGAGGGAAACCGGCTGGGTACTGGGTTTATTTTGAGTCTATACTCTAGATATCTAGCCTGTTGTTCACGCTGAAAAAAAATCGATCGGTGATGCCAGCAGGTGCTACTCACAAAATCACTGTAGTCTATTGGTACAACGTTATTTTTTCTGTTCGTGTTGATAAAATGTACGGGAAAAGAGCCAGCATCAGAACCCCTTTTCTTCACACCCTTAACAATGAAAATATGAATATACCAATGGTAACATGCACACGGTAACCTCTTGGTACCTCCTGTTCTCCAGTTGACCCCCCCTCGCCCCCCCCCCGTTTTCGGAACCAACTTAAGGACGGAGTGGGTGGTAAAGACGAAAGAAAGACGACAACAATAATAGCTACATAGCTCGGGGATCAGAATTGACTAACAGAGCAATTGGCAGCAGCGTTGTTCACGCGTACGTCGAGCTATCATCCCTGTGCTCCCCCTAGCATTGGTGCGCCGACGTGGTAAAATGCTTGACTTGGACTGTCCTGTAATAAACACCGATTTCCACTCTCCCCCCCCCCGGTGTTTGCCATCGGGGTCGGGTTTTCGTCGCTTGGCAACGACGTTGTAAAACAAGCCGCCCCCCCCGGTGTTTGCCATCGGGATTGGGTTTCGTCGCTTGGCAACGACGTTGTAAAACAAGCCAATTCACTTCGTGAACTCGGCAACCAGG